GAGAGACAGCCGGGACTGACCTACTCTGGCTTTCCCACTTTTATCTAGAGAAGGTGGATCCCCTTTGTGGAATGGCCTGTAGCAGCCAGATCTACCTCCACCATCACTGGATGCTTGTAGACACAAATCCAAATGGGTCACGGAGAAGGCAGCTTGAGATACGGCCTCTGAGAAAGTGTGCCACCAACCCGGACAGTTGCGCGAAATTGCTCTTTCACATCTGTAGAAACCTGGGACGGTGCAAAGAGGTGGAAACCACGTGTGTGTCTCTGCCCCGCCCCCCCCTCCAGAGAGAGAGAGAGAGACAGAGAGAGACAGAGAGAGAGAGAAGAGGAGACAGAGAGAGAGAGACAGAGACAGAGACAGAGAGAGACAGAGAGAGAGACAGAGAGAGAGAGAGAGAGAGACAGAGAGAGAGAGAGAGAGAGAGAGAGAGAGAGAGAGACAGAGACAGAGAGAGGAGAAGACAGAGAGACCCTAGCAAACCTGCTGTTTCACACTGGCATGTTAGTAACATGGGAGAATATAAACACCTTCAGAGCACGGTAGTTAGCCGGGTAGCTCTACTATACCTGTGGCTGTCGGCCCCCAAGTCTTGAAGTTATTTTCTCAGTCCATCACCTCTGCGGCAACCAAACGCCTTAGACTGGAAGAGCCAACAACCAGGATGTCTTTCTCATTGTTCTGAGGATTGGCGAGTCCAAGATCAAGAGGCAAGCAGGTCCTGGTCTTTTGGGAACCCTCGTGTTGTTGGCACCTCACACATCAGACGAGGCCAGGGAACTCTCTGGGTCTCTTTTACAAGGTCACAAAACCCCACACCAACTCCAACCCATATTCTCTGGTCCTATCAAAACCAGACCTGAGGCGGCTTTCTCAACTGCCTGTTCCTTCCGCTCTCAACACTCCTTGGTAACCTGATCTTGCCCAACATAGAAAAGCTGAGACTCGCGGCTTTGCAGGCCTCCTAACTATGACTTAGGACACCTGCCACACCTTTAGCCACACCCTGATCCAGGGTCCAACCCCGAGGAAGCTTTCAGCTTTCCCGAGGGCCTTCTGTACTGCCTGGCCTAAAAGCCCCAGCTTGATTGGCTGTCGTTCCCCAAGCAAAGCCAGCACTCATTGAGAATGTCTCTCATTCTGCTCAGGGACCCCGCAGTCATTGGTGGTCTGGGATGAGACCCTCCTGCCGAACCACGTGAGTGGACGAAAGCAAAGATCCATGGCCACATGCAATAAGGTAGAACTGGCGGAAGCCCTGGCCCTGGGCGCCCCCTGGCGACATCTTTGTTACGTGATGCTGTATGCACCCAATCCAAAGGTGCTCTTTGGGGGCCGCATCCCACTCCGCTATGCTGTGCTGGTGAGGAATGGTCACTTCTGTCCTGGCTCTTGTGCCCTTCCCAGGAGCCACCTTTCCATCATCTCCCAGCTAATCCCCACTCCCTCCTCTCCCAGATGTACATGCGCTTTGATGGGCGACTGGGCTTCCCTGGTGGTTTTGTGGATGATCACAGCCCCAGCCTAGAGGACGGGCTGGCTAAGGAACTGCTGAAGAGGCTGGGTGAGGGCGTGTCCAGTTTCCGCGTGGAACACACTGACTACCGAAGCTCCCTCAAAGATGCCAAATCAAACGTGGTGGCCCACTTCTACGTCAAGTGTCTGACCCTAGAGCAGCTCCAGGACGTGGAAGCCAAGGCACCTCTAGCCAAGGACTATGGGCTGGAGGTGGGACCAGCCTGGAACCTCTTACCCCACCTCTCTTCTCTGTGGTCCCTTTCCAAGGAAAGGCCCCTTGGGAAGTCTTGGTTTTTAGATCTTGTGCCCTTACAAGTGTCCAGGACTAGTTCAAAGCCTGAACATCTCCAGGCTGGATAACATTGCTAGTGTGTTCGCCTATGAAAGTTTTACACACACACACACACACACACACACACACACACACACACACACACACACGACTGGCCTCTGCAGAGATTTTTCTAGAACACACTCACCCAAGTATGATAACTTGGTCAGGCATGACGCTACAATAGTAATTTGACTTTGGGCCCAGGGGGGGTAGGGGAATGGGTGTATACATGGAAGTGATTCCCCAATTCTGGCAAGTATCAAACTCATGGGGAGGAGAGGTGTAGAGAAAGTGACTACTAAATTCACACTGGCAGTTCCCTAGTGAGAAAGCGATTTCTAGACTTCCCTCCCACAACCCTTCTTAAGAAGGCCTGTGAATTTGCAGTTGTCTTGAGTTCCCCAGCGAGGCCTACACAGCTGGCATGGAACTGCTGATGTGCAGGACTGTGCCTGCATCTGCCATGCCTGGACTCAGGCCACAGGAAAGTGCTGTAGGAAGGATTAGCCTGGAGATGGACACCGAATGTCTTGAGGGCCACTGCCTGTACAGGGTTAGGCCCCCTGGGCCTCTCTGAAGTATGGAGCCTTGGGACTTGTTCTGCAGTGGTGTCTGCCCTAGAAAGCTTGCTGTAGTGAGAACCATGCCTTGTCCTGTTTCCTCCCCTTCACAGGTCTTGGGCCTGGTGCGTGTGCCCCTGTATACCTTGCATGACGGCGTGGGAGGCTTGCCTGCCTTCCTAGGGAATTCCTTCATTGGTGCTTCCAGGAATCAGCTACTGGAAACCCTCCAGGACATGGGGATTCTGACTCCTGAAACTGTCTCAATCCTCAAGGAACGAATTTTGCTCCACGGAAGCAGATCTTAGGGCTGACTAGATTCTGAGATGGGGACGTTGGGTAGCAGGAGGGCTGGGGAGAGCCTTTTCCAGGCCTGAGAGATGACTGCTAATACCAGAATAAAAGGCAGATATGCTGTGCAGTGTGTTTTGAACAGAGGACCTTGCCCTATAGCATCAGAGACAAAAGTCCACAGCCATTTGCAGGGGCCTGGCCATTTTGAGTCCCTCCCTAGACATGTGCACGCAGACCCAGGGAGCCCTAGACATGCCCAATCTGTGACGACACATGGCTTGGCCCACTCCCCCTCATGTCCCCTTTAACCAGGAACCGTAATCCCCTCCCCTCCTTGCTAAGCAGCGGAGAGTCCTTCCCTTTCCTGGAAGGCTGTCTTCTAGTATCCAGCTCCATGTTCGCTGGAGGAGCATGGTTAACGTTTGTGTGGCTAACGTGTGTCAATGAACACATTTCTTTAATTCTTGGTATAGTCTTGTTTATATTGTATCTGACTGGCAGCCTTTGCCATGCTTACTTAGTTATTTAAAGTTTCCCCTAGACATTCCCACCGTCATGGTACTGAGGGATGGTACAATTTTTCCTAAAGAGGGATTCGTGTGGTTCTCCTGGACCATGAAGAGTTTCCACAGCGTGAGTTGGTATAAAGTGAAGACACTTCCAGAAGTGTGTGTCTCTTCCTGGCGTGATTGCTTGCTGCATTGCTTCCTGGCATGTGCTGATGCAGCAGGAGCTGCTGGCCTGGGGCTGAGCAGAAATGGGGTGCCATTCCTTCTGGACTTTGCAATCTCTAGAACCATGGGCCCAAACAGACTTCTTTAGGTTACCCTGTATTCTGTGTCAACAACAGGAAGTGGACTGAGATGGCCCTGCTTCATCTTGATGTCACACATTGTGTTTCATAGCGCTAGGATTCGAAAGCGTTTTAGTCATGTTAATCTCTGTTAAAATGCTACTTTAATCATGCGCTGTTTTCCTGACATTTTAGAATTGTGAGGGGGGGTTGTTTTGTTTGTTGTGTTTGTTTGTTGTTTGTTGATGCTGAGCTTCCTTAGGACAATAGTTTCCTCTGTTCAGCAATTCATAAATCTTCACATCTTTAGACTTGGTTAGGATGTTTTGTCTTTTTGTTTGGAAGGGATGGTGTTTTTCTGGTTCTTGGTCTTTATGGTGATTCAAAGCTGTCAGAGAATATTTCAGGAGACCATGGTGGAAACTTTCAGGCCCCTGATCTGGCCTTGGACATTAACAGTGTAACTTTTCCAAGCTGTCTGAGGCCAGCCAAGACTCAAGGGTAAGTAGATTGAAAGCCATTTGTTGATGGTGGGGTGTGCTGGCTAGTTTTATATCAACTTGACATAAGCTAGAGTCATCAGAGAGAAGGGAGCCTCAGCTGAGAAAATGCCTCCATAAGATCCAGATGTAAGGCATTTTCTTAATCAGTGGTTGATGGGGGAAGGGCCCAGCCTGGGTCTGTGGTCCTGAGTTCTATAAGAAAGGAGGCTGAGAGCCGGGTGGTGGTGGCACTCACCTTTAATCCCAGCACTCAGGAGGCAGAGGTAGGCGGATCTCTGTGAGTTTGAGGCCGGCCTGGGCTACAGAGTGAGTTCCAGGAAAGGTACAAAGCTACACAGAGAAACCTTGTCTCGAAAACCAAAAAAAAAAAAAAAGAAGGAAAGAAAGAAAGAAAGAAAGAAAGAAAGAAAGAAAGAAAGAAAGAAAGAAAGAAAGAAAAAGAAAGGAGGCTGAGCAAACCATGGAAGCAAACCAGTTAAGCAGCACCCCTCCATGGCCTCTGCATCAGCTCTTGCCTCCAGCTTCCTGTTCTGTTTCATTCACTTCCTGTTCTGACTTCTGTCCATGATGAACAGCGATATAGAAGTGTAGGCCAAAGAAACCCTTTCCTCCCCAAGTTGCTTGGTCATGGTGTTTCATCACAACAATGGAAACCCTCACTAGGACATGGGGTAAGTGGTGGGCCAGAGAACTAGCAAAGGATCTGTAGCCAGATATAACTAGAGCAAGATCTAGAAGTAGATAAATTCTAGTATTATTAGATATCAGTAATAAAGATTGAGAGGATGCCAGGGTTGAAGCCATCTTAGAGAAGGGTCAGACGGGACAGCAGGCCCTTGGACAAATTGTTCTAAGAAAAACCCACCGGAGGATGTGCTGCCCCTTCGCCCCCAGACCCGGACAATTAGGAGCTGCACACCAGACATTTCCTTAAAGGATATGATACAACATAACTGGCATAATGAACAAAGCACCAGATATGTCCTGTGGGATGTTTTCTGCTGTTATATATTGTATACCATAGCTATCAGAGGGAATAGGTTTCCTGCAGATAAAAACGGGAAGTCTAACTACCAGAGGAAATGGGTCTGCTGGCAAAATAGATACAATAACATAGATTGCTAGAGGATATGGCAATTCCCTTGCAGCTGCAGCTCTCCAATAAGTTCGAATCAAGCGTCTCTAACCTGAAGTAAGCACCAATTCTGAGCTTGGAACTGTATAGAGTTGGAATTCCCCCAGATCCCCTACCCTAACCATTATCAAAACCCTGCTGGATTGCTACTCAGGGTCTCTCCTGCTGCTCTGTTGCTGCATCAGATGGACAGAGAGACCCGGGTTAACTCGAAACAATAAAAAGACTCTTTGCTTTTTCATTGGATTTGGTCTCTTGGTAGTCTTTGGGGGACTCTGGGTACAACAAAGATAATGTTAGAAAATTATGCAGGATCCCTTTGGTACATGACTATGGTAATTTGAATGAAAATGGTCCCCATAGACTCATATGTTTAAATGCTTGGTCCCAAGTTAGTGGAACTGTTTGAGAAGGATAAGGAGGTGTGGCCTTATCGGAGGAGGCATGGCCTTTTTAGAGGAGATGTGTCACTGAGGATGAGCATTGAGGTTTCAAAAGCCCAAATCATCCAGGCTCTCTCTCTCTCTCTCTCTCTCTCTCTCTCTCTCTCTCTCCTCTCTCTTGCCTGCAGATCAGGATGTGAAGTTCTCATTACTGCTCAGCACCATGCCTGTCTGCTTCCTACCATGATGATCATGAACTAACCTTCTGAAACTATAAGCTATCCCCCAGTTAAATGCTTCCTTTACAAAAGTTCCCCTGGTCATGGTGTCTCATCACAGCAATAGAACAGTGACTAAGACAAGGACCACACAGGCCTGGGCAATTTCCTAGTGATGTTCCAAGGAAGTTCTTCCTGGTGACATGTGGATATGGAGGGCCTCAAAGAACAAGGAGGCAAAGTAAGTTGCCCCCATAGTTCCTATGGGAGAGGGTGGTGACCTGGACCAGGGAGAGGGCAGAAGAAATGGACAAAATTGTATGTATGGAGGGAGGTCGTGGAGCTGGTGTTGGCAGGATTTACTGATCACTGTGGGAAGAGACCAGTGAGTAAGGTAGAGGCTTCTCGGGTTTTGTACTATTAGGCATTCATGTTATATTTAGATAAAGACTTCTGGGTAAGTCTCATCAACATTGTTGATGTAATTGAGTAGCACTGGCTGGATTATTTATTAGTAACTTTTCTGTTGCAGTGATAAATATCATGACCAAGAGTAACTAACTTACAGAAGGAGGAATCTGTTTGGGCTTCCGTAATGTGAGGAAGGCATAGCCAAGCGCTGCTGGCGTGGGAAGCTGGCTGGTCACATCTTATCACACAGGAAGCCAAGGGAATGAACTAGAAAGGGGACAAGGTATAAACTCTCCCAGCCCTCCCTCAGTGACATATGTCCTCCACCAAGGCCTCACCTTAAAGGTTCCATAACCCACCCAAGCAGCACCCCCCACTGGGGGGCCAGTGTTGGAGCCTACAGGACAAATGGAAGCATCCTTATTTCTCTCCCCGTTCTGGAAGTTTAAGAACATGGTTTGGATATGTGCTTTGCATCTGGTAGGTACATTCTTACCTGTAAGGTTTCTGTCATGTTCCAGAGTGGTACAAAGCATGTCAGGGAGAGACAGAGAAACCATGTCAGGGACAGTCTTTTCAGAACAACACTGCTTGACAAAGAGCTCATTAATCTATTAGTCCATGAGTAGATTAATCTCTCCTGATTTAGGAGGACCTCAGAAAGTCCTGCCTGATCCTCCTCCTCCTCCTCCTCCTCCTCCTCCTCCTCTCTCCTCCTCTCCCTTCTCCTTCTCCTCCTCATTCTCTCTCTCTGGTTTTTTGAGACAGGATCTCATTATGTAGCCCTGGCTGTCCTGAAAGTTGCTATGAACACCAGGCTGGGCTCGAACTCACTGAGATCTGTCTTCCTCTGCCTCCTAGCTGCTGGGATAAAATGTGAGTGCCACTGTGCCC